ACGTAACGGAATACGTTACAGAATACATTTTGGGGCATGTATTCTGTATTCTGTAATGGAATACATTTTAAAAGTAACCTTCCCAACACTGTTTGGGAAACGTATTTTCCTCCTTCTGTGGCCTGCTTCAAGGGCCACCTTGACTGGTGTATCACTGAGTCTTGCTGTTTGTTTCCTTTTTCTTCCCGCTAAAAGGGTTTTTCCTGGTCCAGCTTTTGCATATCTTCAGTTAGAAGACTGCAGATGTGAGGATTTGGAGGAACGGTCACGTCATCAGCTGTAGGACTGGTGAGATGAGCCGCAAGAGGAGTGGACTGTTGGTCAGCTGGAGAAATGTCTGTATGGAGAGTTGGAGAAGGACGATCTGTGACCTGTGATGGAGCAAAGTCACTTTGCTCAAGTATGTTTGGATTGTATAGCCAAATTCCATAGCACTGGAATTCAGCTTGTATAGTCTTTGGTGTAGCTGCTGCTGGAAGTGCAGTTCTGACAAGACCTGGTATTTCATGTATTGTCATGGTCTTTCCTGGATTCATTCTCATCCAGCAATTACTTGCACTGTTCATCATCTTTTTCAAAATTAGTGGCCTGTGCCAGAATTGTAGCCTTCTAATGGACAAAGTTGGATTTCTTTTCATGTAGGCTGAGAACCATTCTGGTCCAGCCCTCCAGAATTAGTACCAGGACTTTGGATATTTGCATCTATGTTTCACGGCAAGCTGATGTGTCAGTTCTTTTACCTGTAATTTTAATCACGAAATATGTTTGTATTTCTAATATACTGTCTTTTAAATTGCCACTATTACAAATTTCTAACCTTCCCCTGCCTTATCCTTTATCAATTCCTATCTGCTTACCTCACGTGGAGATAGTCCATAAAATGCATCTGCAGCCCTCATCAGGTATTCTGTTAATTCTTTCTCTTATTTATCAGTGAAGACCATCTTTCCACCATGGTATCCTACTGTGGGAGTCCCCTTGATCCCTGCTCTTCCAGCTTCTTCCTCTCTTTACCAAATCTGTGCAAACTGACATTGCAAATGCCATACAATTTTGCCACAGATCTGTTGGGCTTTCCCTGATTTCTAACATCATTTGATGCTCTCTCCAAAATACTGAGAGGCACCCCTCGGTCAGTCTTTCTCTTCCACGACCTCGACATACTGTAATTCAAAGAAAACAGTTAAAGTAATTGTGGTGTAAGTTGTAACATTTGCATTATTGTTACAATTAACCCAGACTGTTACCGTTACAACTGACCCAGACTCCTATAGCCCTGCTGTTTAGTTTTCCCCAGTATAGATTATCTTTAGTTCCGTTTTGCCATTTTCACCTTGTGTTTGATTTTGCAATAAACCTCCTTCGCATCTCAGCGAGTGCCTCCTCTTGGGTCCTCATTTATTTGCTCCACACGGCTCACCCCAGTTAGCCATGACAATTATGTTAAAATAGGTCTTTTTGAAGGATATGGTATTCCATGTTTTGCAGCATTTTTGAGGTGCACTTACAGTAGATCAAAAGTGAAACACGAGGTGAACATGTGCAAGCCATGTGTTTGTGACGGTGAATCTAACACATTGTTGAGAAATTTTACCTTTTAATTTATATCTAAATGACTTGATTCAAAAAACGTGGTCATAATCAACTGCACCTGCTGTGAGCGATACAAGATATTTCTCCTGCTTTTGGAAACACTGGAACTATTTTTTCATTTCTTTTGTAATTACTGGGATATTTTTAAAAAAAAAGCCGGATTTGTATGTGTGGTCTTTTATTCTTCTTCTTTGTTCTTTTATAGTGAAATCAACTAAAATGTCTGAAATAATGATTGTCTGACAGAGGCATGTTGACATTTTGGGAATCAGTAGGCTAAATCAATAGGATAAACTCCTAGGATTCACTGGACCTTGATTCTCACAAAAACATGCTAATTCAGTGCCACTAAAGATCCTTTCATTTGCCGGTTTTACCCGAGATCTCAGCACAGTCCCCATATCCAGCACTATTCAGCTCCCCGCTACTACAGAATCCATCATCTGCCAGGTCAGTTTGATCCACCCACTTCCACTTGCTGTCTGCTCATGTGGGTTAGTTTCAGGCTTTAGTTTGCTCCATTTCTAGTACAGTGGGGCAAAAAAGTATTTAGTCAGCCACCGATTGTGCAAGTTCCCCCACTTAAAATGATGACAGAGGTCAGTA